GCTGACCAGAATTTTTACAATCACTATCTGGAAAATGTATGGAGAGAGCCATAGACTCATGTTTACTATACACCAGGACTGTAACAACTGCTATGGGATTAGGACACAAAGCAGCACCGCACAGCAGAAGTCACATTTCCCTGGCGATTTAAAGGTTCAGCTTTTCTCCAACTTAATTTAGAAACTAACACAAAGCCTACCTTTGTTAGGAAAGAATATTTTGATAGTATTTCAAAGCATAGCAATTAATTAACTATAGATCACAGATCTAAAATCTAGAGTTCATCACCTAGCAAACCAAGGAATAGTTCTATTTATTTATTTATTAACCTCTTGGTTAGATCAGCTTTGCATTCCCGGTGCTAAGTGATAATGCATCAGCATTATATAATTATAATATAACAGCCTACAGTCACCTCACAAGACTTTTGACAGTTCTAAACCAATGACATTACGCACTACCTTTACTGAAAGGCACAAACATGCTGGTTTACTGTAGCGTTGCTCATGAAAATACAAAACACCTTCAAAAAGAAGTACAGGGAAGCTCATCTGAGGTCCAGCAGACTCACCGTGACCTGAAAGAATCAGTCATCTCAATGTAAGAAAAGGGATGAACCAAGAACTGAATGTGGCATTGCATAATCTTGCCGCTGTTATGTATCTGCATAGGACTGAGTATTATTTCTGTTCTGAAAGAGTTTCAGCATAGGTGCTTTTTCCTAATACTGCAGTATACATTTAGTCCCAGCTCGAATAATGAAAGCATTTAATGTAGTTGTTTTCCTGATATACAATATCAATTTGCCCTCTGTTGTCTAGCGGTGGGTTATTTAGCGAGCTATGATGGTGCAATGTGCCAGAAAACATCAAAAAGTAAAGTATAATGCTCGCTTAGCCAATGTTACATACAGTTAACAGAGTCAACTAATGTTGTTTTTTGGACAGCACATACGCACATCCAGTACTCAGGCAGGCAATATATGCATCAGAACCAGCCAAACAGGAAAATACAAACACTGTGCATTATGCACCACAGCAAAATAGTACTTTGGATTATAGAGACTTAACTAATCAGTAATAATGAGTGTCATCTGCATTTCAAATCTCCAGTATATTAACCTACTTTGCTCCAAGTGCCACAGTCATGCTGCAGCCAAGAGTTCCAGTTAAATATGGGTAAAACAACAGGACTTTTTAAAAAACAGTGATTACAAAAATGAAAGCCTGATTTCTTGATGGTCTCCCTGAATCACAGTCACCTAAATAAAGCTTGAATCCAGGAAAAGCTTAGCAGGAAAGCAATCTTTTTTTTTTTTTTTTGTATGTGTAAAAAAAGACCAGGAACTACAAGTAAATAGCAGCTGAGCAACAGATGAGGCACTAAGTGAAATCTGTTAGCAACTGCTAACAGCTTTGCTATTTTCTGTTGTTAAATTAAAAAAAAAAGTAAAAAACCAATGCAGTAGCAATTCCAATATGTTCAAAAATCTCAGATGCAAAAGACTAAAGCTCAACACTTCTTGTACTACAGATAAATACTCGAGTTTGTTTTTAATATCTTGAAATGCTTTGTTATTGCTTATAAGGCAGAAACAAGCCAATTCACATGGACATACTATCAAGATAAAACTTGTTATAGCTATATATATGACCCAGCAAGTATAGCACAAAACCTCCACCGTAGACAAGTGTGACACTTCCAGCAGCTGCTTTAGCCTCAAATTCTGCTTTTCTTTGTCCTTTACACCTGACCCCTAGTCATTCGCCAGAAAGTGCATGTGTCTTCATTAGCACTGAGCTTTCTGGCAAGATCTCAGAAATATTTTCATTGTCCTTCTGGTCCTGGAGCTTTCACCACAGATGATCATTTCCTACTTAACCCAATCTTGACATGGGTTCAGCAAGTCTGTTTTCCCGTTTGGATGCATCTATACAGCACAGCAGAATTAAGCAGGCACAGCTGAAATAGCTCTGAACAAAGCATCCCACAAAATACAAACAGTATGAATGTATCAGTATGGGGTTCCAGGTCTCGGTAGGATCAATTAGTTACAAGGCTGCAGTCACTGGACTAGTTAAAAAAATTCATAGCATGGCCTGGTCCCAGGCAGATATATCCTACTCCCACTCCTGCCACTTGCTTTCTTAATGTCTTTACTCTTGGGTCTTTCTCTCCTGTCAGTTTCGCAGGCGCTGTGTTCCATGTTCCTCATTTTGGCGGTCTCCCACATGGAGGACCACAGTGCAACTACCACCATATCTACAAAAGGCACACTACAGATTTCCTTGTCTATCCAGCTTTCTGCTCCCTTATGGTACATGCATTTCTAATGCCTCCCATGGCAAGTTCTCCTTCCAATTCAAACTCAGCATGTCAAAAACTGAGCTCATTTCTGTTTCTAACTACTTCCCTCTACTTCTTTCTCTTAAGCTACCAAGAATTAGTAGTCACCTTGCCTGCTGCAGATGCTCACAACTTTGTCTTCTTCAGCTTCTCCCTTTCCTTCCACAGATGTTCTATCAATAAAACATGCCAGTTTCATCTCCACAACGTCATAAAAAATCTGGCTGTTTCTTTCCATCCATGCTGCTAAAATACTTGATCCTTCAAAGCAGTCTCTTCCTCCCTAGCCCTTCTGACACTCTCTCCTCACTCTTCACATCAAACTCCAGTCTGAAAAATACCTCTTAAATCTAGTACTTAGTCAGTATTTGAGCCCTTCTAGGTTCCCCCATTACTTTCTTATTATTGCTTTTAAAACCATTCAGATTGTTTTTGTTTTTCATGTTGTCCACAACAATTCCTCTCTGAGGAAATACCAGCCCAGTTTTGCTCATCTTGAGCAGGACATATGGTCCCCAATTCTTTTGTAAACTCACGCTGTTTACTCTTGTTCAGTCTTTAGAGGTCATCACCCTTCTTCCACTTTTATCATGGCTGGGATTCCCTTGGACTCTCACCTTCTCAGGAAGGAATTTCTTTTCAAGAACAATTTTATAAATTCTAGGAAGAAACACTGAGGACACAGAACCTCTAAAAACTTCCCAGCTGAACTGTTAGCTCTTTCAAACAACTCCTGTATTCATTATAACCTGTTGCTTGCATCTTTGTGGCTTTAGAGAGATTTTCAATGGTGTGGGATAGAAATGCCCATTCTGTACTACCATACAGATAAATAAGTATTATTAACAGTTACTGTCCGCTGGGAAGACTATCAATCTGAATAAAAAGCCTGCATATGAAAAGAACAGATGTATAAAGCTCATATACAACCAAAATGTGAAATATATTCTGAAAAACGGGAATACTAAGAATAGTAACTTATTGTTCCCAGCTTTGCATATTGATCATTATCAGATTTTTTTGTCAACTACAATCGCTTGTTTTGGATTCTGATGTCATCCCACATTCTTTCTGGCTCAGGCATCACACCCCCATAAGTAAGATTTTGCACTTCAAACTTCGAATCTGCCAGTGATACATGAAACAGAATACTTATGCTTTTGTCATACCTCTGTGTCACTCCCCTCCTCTTCCAACAGCCCTATTCACACCAAAGAGTTAAAAAGAAAAAAATAGACAAAAAGCTTAAGATACACAAGAGAGTTGTTGAAGTCACCCTCCTAATTATTCAGTGTTTTGACTACTGTTCCATGTTAAGCCCTATTTCTTCAAACAGTATGAACACAAATGCACGTGCAATGCGCAGGTGTGAGTATGTGCCTCCTCAGCATTCCCGAAGAGCCCCATTTGAATGCAGACTGGTATACCCACGCACCTTCATCTTACGAACACTTAATAACTGCTGAAATCATGCAAATTTGGCACATAAGCATCCCTGCATATTTTTTTACAATCTCTCTACAGTGTTCTAAAGTTGATAGGACAATTTTGAGGATTCCTATTGATGACACATGGAACAAAGTCAGCTAAAACCTTCCATATCAATATAACACAAGCCATTTCACTCCAGAGGACATACCAGCAGAAAGCTGCAATGCAAGTTCATATATCACTGTCTTAATGAATATCATTTTAAGTGAATGATCTTGCAGCTGAATTTCTTAGATTACTAGTTAAATGCATCTTCGCCTAAGCAACGATTGGGGCTTTTTTATGTATCTGTCTTGTCTACAATCCAGCATTCAGAGAAACACCAATAGCCTCCCAAAGCTAACAATAAGCGGTCAGTGCCGTAAGTAACCACATGGTCATACAGTCTAATCTCCTCCAAGTGATCATTACGTTTCATTCACATACCCTATATTAATTGCAAAGATCTACTTAAATGGAAACACTTTAATCCTCAATAGAGTAAACAGGTACCAGAGGCAGGGGTGATAGAAACCAGAGTGTCTACAGCACCAAAGGCTCCAGCAATAACAAGGAAATGGCCTGGAGAACTTTGATTAATCTCTGATGATTCCAGAGGTGCAAAACCAACAAATAGCCACAGAAGAAATCCAAACGCTTGCATGCTGGGCAGGGAGGACCGTGAGCTTTTGACCACTGCAGGCAATGGCTGAAGCTGAGAAGCAAAGATTTTATCACGGCTAGTGGTTTTCAACAACTGCAAATGTTACTATACTGTTTACAGTAACACGAGCAATCCCGCTCTCCCCAAAGCTTGTGAAGGAAGCAGATAAGCAAGGGAAGAGAAGGCGAAGGTCTGAGCGTGGGAGTGGGTCATGTATTACTCAGAAATATTCCCCACAAAGCCTCCCACCGACACACACTTGTTTTTAGCCTAAAACCTTGAATCTTTTCTGACATATGGGAATGAATTTCAAAGGCACAAAAAGACATTTTGTCTGCCAAATGTCTTCTGCCTCAGCTACAAGTTTGGTGTAAAAGTATAAACTGCTTTCTTTTTAAATAACATAAACATGATTTTGAGTCCAAGTGAAATAATTTTTCCACTACTTTATGAGAGTATCAGTTGTTTCCTATGTTATAATGAAAATGGATGGCTGTTTTGCTTTTTAAAATGCCATACCTCAACATGACACCAAAGCCTTTCTTTTTTTTCTTTTCTGGATCTTCATTTTCTTCCTTCCTTTTCTTCTCTTTGATTTTAGATTTGCCCTTTTCCTTCTTCTTCTCTTTCTCTCTATTTTTCTTGTCTTTTTTAGCTTTGGCTTCTGTATCTTCTATTTCAGAGTTCCCTGGAGGGGCAGATTCCACGTTCTGAGCTTCTTGACCAGAGTGAGAGCTCTTATCAGAGAAACCATCTGCACATGAAAAAGAAGCAGTGAGGATGGCTAGGGGCCACCAAAATGCACACACATGAAATACAGCATAAATGTCTACAAAGTGCTCAAATGACTCACAACACTTACTCATTTAATTGAATAATTTAAAAAGCAGACTAAACATATCTAGTGAATTCAAGCAGATTTCTATTGTAAATTACATACAGAGTTATTTTAATGACTTGGTTTCTAGTTATTATTCCTGATACAAAAATCCTGACATGCTAAACCACTATTCTATTTGAAATCTAGCTTGTTAACCTCCATCAGCTCGAGAAAACTGACATGCTGGGATGCAAACACTGAAAGCTTACTTCAACAAGAGATTCTGGCGACTGAGATAACAACCTACGTAACAAAAAGATTTCATTCACTCCCTGGAATCTTTCTATTTTAATGGCTGAAAAAGAAATAGCTTAACTGTTCTGTCTGGTTGGAGAAGAGCTGTGTTGTTTCTATTTGGGGGGGCTCAGGATCCAAGCACGGTTTTACGCTTCATGCTAAAGAAGATGTATTTCCAGACTGGGGTCTATAAGCCTATGGTAACAGAATGAGCAGCAGGGTGCTATCAATACACTCTGCCTTGTCTGTAACAGGAAACAAATTTCCTGGTTGGAGAAGGGGGAATTGTAGACAGCTCTGTAAAACAAGCAAGATAATTTTTAATGTAATCTGAAGAAGGCAGCTGCTTCTTGAAGTTAAAAATTATAATTATTTAAGGATTGAGCTCTAAATCCTCCAACCCGCCCCTGCCCCGAAGGAGATCAGTGAAAGGCTTTACACTAAACCCAGTCAAGGTTGGATGGGGTACTGCAAAGGCAGCTCTATTCAGTGGAAGACATGAGCAGCTTTTAAAATGTGATCAACTTCAATTGGACTAAATCACTTGCTTATGTGCTTTATTGAGTTGGCCCTCAGCAGTGCTAAGTGAAGGTTGCTCCCTCAGTAAGTGCCATTAGCAACATACCCTCTTCTCCATCTTCAGGTCCATCATAAGACTTGTCAATGGCAGCTCGGAAACTCTCATTACACCCCCGACCACGGACCACGTGAGGCCTGGGTCTGTGAAAAGGGAGTTCGTTCTTCCTAACTTCAGCCACAGCAGTCTGAAGACTCTCAAGAGAACTGGACTTCTTCAATCCCAGAGTAGGACCAAAATCTTTGCCAGAAGAATCTGAAAAACAAATAGTTAAGTTTTTATAATAAAACCACACAAAGAAATGAAACTAGTCAGACAGATACATTTAATTGTGTAGTTTTTTACTCGGGGACTTTGAAATCAGTGCAATTTGTTCTAAAAATAACATCAAGTTAAACCTTGTTCAGTAGATAACCCTATTCAGACTTGGAGGGAGTGGGACATAATTTACAGACCTGACAACAGTGATGGGCAATAGCTGGCTTGTTCTGTGTCACTTTGAAGCCTCCACCAGTGATAAGGATGGGGTTACTTCTTCCCCCTTTGACAGCAATGTCCAACTGGACACTGCCAACAGTCTCAAGGAGAATATTATCCTTAGACTCAGAAAAAACAAACACTGCTACACAATGAGAGTTTTTGTTTTAAGAGTGAGTCAGGTTGCATGAATGGCTGATATTTTCAAACACATTTCTCCTGTGAGAAGATATTATTAGTTCTCTCAGTCTTATCCAACTTTTTTCTTCAAGCTGAAACTGGTGCTATGATATCAACATACACACCAGGTTTTTCAAGAAACAAATATTTCCAGCAAAGTACAGCTTAACATAAATGATGTTGCTGCCTCTTTCCTTGTTTACAGGCATAAGAAAGCACTTCATACAAAAAAGCGCAAATACGTTACGAAGTCTCCTAAACCTTTCCACTCTTTGAATGCTTGACTGTCTGACCTTAAAAAGGCTTTATCTTGTGGCAGCATTAATATTAATTAGCATTAATATAATGATAGTAGAATAGGTAAAGAAAAAGTTCAACAAATATGCACATACCAATCAATGAAGAAATTTACAGCTTAATTTAAAAGCTTTTGTAGTATATTCTTAGTTTTTATATGGGAGAACAGTAAATGTAATGTACAGACACTGAGGAAGAGACTTTGCCTTGCAATATGTCTTCTGTCTTTGAGAACATAAATGCTTTTGTGTTCAACTTTTAAGTGATACTAACACAAGCAACAGGAGAATATAAGAACAGAAGACCTTCACATACATGTCCATATACTGTCAAGCCTGAAGAGACACGAGGATCACAAAAAAGACAGGTATGTTAGTATTGTATGCTGTGATTTTAGCAATCCTCGAGTGTAGGTATTTCTGTGTGATCAGTGAATTCTTAAAAGGAAAAAAGCTAAGAGTTGGCACCAAATAGAGACTCATCAGTAGTGTCGACACAAAGCAATTTACACTTCCATTACCTGCAGACTGGTATGTAGCTGAAAATAAGGTGGGGGGTGTGGTGACAAACAAGTTTAAGGGAAGCCTGGTTGCTGGTCACACAGTGCAACCTTCTTTTGTTTGCTAATTGCCATTCTGGAGACTACCATTATTGCCAAATTAGCAAGTGCTAAAACAGAGTTAGAGCAACCACTTGCATACAACATAAAGGTGCTTAAATCACTAAAACCTTGTGCATTAATAAGAGCAAAACCAAAGGAAGCATAACCACTGTGAAAGGCGCTCTGATCAGCAGAGAAAAAGCTTTCTTGTTTTTCAGTCAGCAAACAGCTTTAATGGGCTGCATTCGCAGACGGGAGGGCAGCACGGTGGTCAATGTGGCATAGAGCAGCAGGCCGCGGCGGCCCAGGGAAGGCGCAGCTCGGCCAGGCTGGGGCAGAGGCCTGTGCTGAGGGCTGCCGGGGCAAAGGCCTGACACGGGCGATGGCTCCCACCTCTGTGGGCAGCAGGCACCCAGCCCAGCCACTGCTGAGCCTCTCCGGAGTGGTATGCGCTGGGTGACGGTGTAACGGCGACTACAGTGTCTGCAAGGAAGCAGACAGTGCGGTTGCTGCCAAGAGCCACTGCTCGGACACAGGGATCAGCTGGCGGCCATGGCTCAGAGAGGCTGGCCAGCCAATGCCGATTTCCAGGCTGCTGCAGCTACCTGAAACAGCTGTGTCAAAAGGCAGTACAAAGGTTTATACACACAACGCAGTACAAGCTGTACTACATTAAATTAGTGCCGTAAGCTGTATTCCCTGGAAAAAAAAAGTCACCGGTTAAACGCCGGTTAGAGCCTGTCTTATATAAAGCAAAGCCAATTACTCAGACTGGGAGACCACTCTTAACATATGAAGGCCATTCCTAAGAAAATCCAAGCCATCACCTAAGGTTTGGAGTGACACACTCAAACGTTCCATGCAGCAGAAAACAAGCTGTCTCAGCCTTGCTGCAGTTTGCCCTGCACACACTGCAACACAGTTTTTAGGTACCTGTTCGCATACTATCTAGTTCAGTATGGGTCACCAAGAAAAGCTTTTTAGTCCTATACTTGCCTTAAACAATTGCATGGGAAACTCAGAGTTACTGACAAAGTATGTTTCTTTCTGTATAAATAGTCTGTATTTTGCTATTTTTTCCTAATATGAAAGTCCCCCTGAGGAAGTAACTTTAGTAATAACTAGCAATAACTTCCTGAGTTTTGATATTTTAAAGAGAACACTTACAGTGACTTTCATGTGGTATTTTCAGTTTGCTGCTAAAAAGAGGAAAAAAGAAACTAAATGGAGCACTCTAGCTACTAAGTAAATTCAGAACACCACTACCTTGGAAAAATGATTTTTTTTTCTAATGTCCCCAAAAGAAATGGAATTGGCTTATGGTCACTTCACTGCCTAACATCATCGAATAATGTGTCACCTTAAAGGACAGTATAAAATGGCAAAATTAACTGTATTTCTCCCTAGCTGGCAAAGAAAACTAAATTTCATCTGGGATCTTCCTGTGTTCTACCATTTAAAAGGTGTTCTCATTTATTAAAAACTTACTGAGAACTTTTAGGCACAGATTAGTACTAAGCATTTAGTTGCTCCTTTCAAAAACTGTAATAATTTAGCCTGAAATTTCACTGGCAACATTGGAAGTTTCTCACTATTACCATGAAAATCCACCAGTGAAGAAGCATCTGAACCCAGGTGAAAAATAATATAATTTTTTTCTTATTGATGACAGTAGTAGCAATGCAACCTCATTAAGAAGGGGAACATTCGGTCAAGGAGTTTACATCCTTGGATATTCTCACCAGTCTCACCAGGGTTTTCAAGAAGGTTTTGCAATTCAGCTTTTGTTCCTTTTCTCTTTCATTGTAAGGCTGCAGCAATCACGTATTAGTGCACAACTAAAGATACAGGAGCTGAGGAGTTTCCCTAAGGAGGGAGACCAGTCCCCTTGCTTTCACAGCGAGCATCTATTACCAGATGCTTTACAGAAAAATGTGCAAGGCACTGTACCCAACAAGCACCAGATCCCAAGTAGGGAAATTTCCCTCCCCTGTCCCCCCAGTACTTTTCTCCATTTCTGCAGACCTTTATGACTGCCATAAGCCTGAAAACATGGATTTTTCCTCATGAGTAAAAAAACCCCCAAACCAACAAATAAACAACAAGAAAACCCCTCTCATCTTTTACAAGTTATTAACAGGCATTTCTGGGGGTGTGTGGTGTATGTATATGTGTGTGTACATATCTAGCCCTATCCAAATTTTGAATACAAAAACATAATTTGACAATGAGAAATGTAGTTGTTCACTGTGTAAAAATGTTTCTATGGATTTTAAATTCTTAAGCCCTCATTTTACTGCTTCTGATAGTACAACGATAAAAAGTCATCTGAAGCATCCACTTTATTTTTTTTATAAATGGTGAATTACTTCATGCATCTCTCCTGAATTTATGAGAGAAAACAACAACTGACATCAGTACCTGCCTACAACTGGCTGAAACTGATTTGCCAGTTCCTAGATGATACCTATAACTGATCATCCTTTAATGGAAAGATGTTATTACACCTACCTTAATTTTCTGCTCAATGCCAACATGGCTACCACAGATTTTTTTTCTTAATATACCAGTAAAAGCAAACGTGCTTTCTGTTCTTTTATTATTATTAGTAGTAGTAGTTTCATGTATTTCCAGGTTTCTCTTTTTCCCACATCTGCACATTCCTTTCTTATTTTATAGCCCAGCAGAAGGAAACATGCCAAAAGCAAGATGTCAGTCATGAAAATCAAAGGGAAACAAATGACACAGTGCTGTGGGCAATGCAACCACCCCAAAGGCACATGTAGAGAAAGTGGAATTGAAGAGAAGCCATGAATCACTGCCACTCTAAATGAAATACGACTCCTAAGACACCCTAAACAATAAACATTTTATATATTTATCACTAATTTTACTTTCTAGATAATGATTCTTGTTGAAAACTGAAACTATATGAATATGCCTAAAGGAGAATATTTAGAGGAACATATTTGTGTGAGCTAGACTAATTTACTATTTACATTTTGAAAGACATAGTGAGGTAAAAACCAGTTATGAAGAAAAAAAAAGGGAAAGTGTCACTGAGACTGAGAAACTAGAATAAACACAAAGTTGTAATAGATTATAAATAAACTGGATCTGTATTTACTGGAGCCTGAAACACACACATTCCTGGTTCCTACTGCATTGCACATGGTGGAGGTGCCTGTCTTACTAGCGATGTGAAAGTGGTTATGAAACCAATGAGTCTTCTGCCCTGTAGGTAGTGGGATGCTGGAGATAGCACGTGAGAGCTTTTAGCAGGAAAACTGTTCATGAAACACCAAGGCTGACTTCTTTTGTGGCAGGACTCAGAGTGAGATATGTCAACAGCTTCTCAGGAAGCAGTTAGAGCGCAGTGCCTGTTCTGCCTGGGACATACACCTTGGGTAACACTCATGATGCCCAACTGACCCTCACTGAAGTCGGGCCTACCCCAACCTAACTTATCTAACTGCTCACTCTATAGTTACCTCTTCTCTAAAGGAATTGGGGTACGTTCAAAATATCTTTTGATACATATATATTCCAATGATTTTCAAAATACAATCAATTCACAGATCACGTATATGTTTGGGTTTTTTAATGTATTGCTAACCTTACATTGGCCCTACAGAGATGAGGATAACAAGCATGGTGTCTGAAACACTCCAACTTTTGCCCAGGAAGGAAAAAGCAGGAT